TAACAACTCTATGATTCACTTAATGGCTGCACCAAAAAAAAAAAAAAAAAAGGTCATAAAATTTAAGTGATTCATTGAAAAACCGCTTTGCTTATTGATGGAAGTTCCCGTCCCAATTGTTGCTGTAAGTCAAGGACTACGAGTATGTGTAAGAATTAAATATTTAAACCAGTGGTGAAATCCTCTGAAGTCTGCTACTGGTTCTGTGAGTCTGTTACCAAGCGCGCGCTTTGCACACATGCGTGCCTGAGGCGTATTCACGCCGTGCTAAAAAAGGGAACATGTTGAAGCCTTCCGAGTCTGCAAAGGTAAGTAGAACAGTGAGGGAGGGGGGAGGAATCCGCTGTGCCACGTGATTTAGATTAGCTAGAAAGCAGGAAACCTGATGATTCTAGCTAATATAAATTGCGCATCACAGCTGATCGTCAACCAACTGATCGTCGGAAATACCTGTTCGCCCGAACCGGTAGCATTTTTTTTACTACCGGTTCGCCTGAACCGGTCCAAACCGGTAGCATTTCACTCCTGATTTAAACGATGTAGAAGAACAGAATGTTATAATGGAGCTGGGACACTTTGCGCATACCTGGTTTAGTTTATAGTATCTTATTTCTGCAATCGAGATAAAAGTTAAACCATACTCAATCTATTGCCAATAGAAAACAGTCTGGTATGATCTTTGCAGATTATAATCCACAGCATTAAAGAAGTAAATCCATTCCTTACTATTCTGGCTCAGACTTCCAATTTTTATTTATTTGCTTACCTGCCTGACAGCTTTGGTGAGCTTGGCGTTTCCTGTGTTGTGTGTGTGCACACGAGCACAAACCTACAGTGTTTCTTTCAGAATCAAGGGGCAGTAACAGAAGTCAGGGCTATAATCCAGGTTGTCTTTCGCTTTGCATTAGGCTAGGTTTTAGCTTATTTCGAGTGAATCTCACTTGTCAAATGGCTATAGTAGACGTTCTTCTCATTTTCCCAACACCCATCCTTCTCTCCTTCCTGTCCTTAGTAAAAAAAAAACCAAAAACATCTGGAAAGCTAAACTCACCCCTAGAGATCCTGTAATTTAACAATAAAAGATTCAGGAGTATTTGGATGCAGAGGGTTATAATTATGCAATGAAAAAAAAATTGACCCAAGTGACACTGGGGTGACCCCAAGTGTGGTCTGGCTGGAAGACGGGAACTTCTCTACCAGGTGAAAATGATCCAAGAGTTGCTTAGTTGCTGTATAAAACTCAACATTTTATACAAAGGTGGAGAACCAACTTTAGATCATGGTGTGCGACAATTTTGTGGCTAGAAGAATCATTGATTTGAGAACCAGGAAATCTAAAGGTTGTTCTAGGACAGGGGTTGGTAACTCGTGGCTCTGGAGCCGCATGTGGCTCTTTCATCCCTCTACTGTGGCTCCCTATTGCCGGTTGGCGCCACAATTTTGAAAGGAGCTTCCGGTTGGTGGGAGGGGGGGAAGCATGGTGTGCCAGGAGGAGACTCTATGGCAAGGTTTTCCGGTCGGCTCCACAATTGATAGGGCTTTTGGTTAGGACAGGTAGAGGAAAAAGGATGCTGCACTAGAAGGAGACTCTATGGTGGGGGAACTGGACTTCCGGTCGGCTCCAGAATTGAACTGGGGGGCTTCTGGTTAGGACTTTTGTGGCTCTTTAAGTGTTTAAAGTTGCCGAGCCCTGCTCTAGGAGGAGCCGTAGGTCTCTTCCATAAGCCACAACAACAACATACAATATGCACATTGTATCATCTTTGCACAAAAGATACGAACTGTGCATTTTTACAAAATGCTAACATTATTATAGGTGAAGTCACTTGCCTCTTTTAGGAGCGCAATGCAAACTCGGCAATCCTGAGACATGTATTTGGACAGAGTCAGAATTTTATGGGATTATTTGAGGAGGGGGATGGATTATTTTCTATACAGATGGTCCTCGACTTACAACCACTTGTTTAGTAATGGTTTGACATCACAGTGGCACTGAAAAAAGTGTACTTATGGTTGGTTTTCACACTTATGACCATTGCAGCATCCCCATGGTCACATGATCAAAATTCAGGTGTTTGGAAACTGGCGTGTACTTATGACTGTTGCACTGTCCTGGGTCATGTGATCATCATTTGTGACCTTCCCAGCCAACTTCCAACATGCAAAATCCATGAGGGGAGCCAAATTTGCTTAATGACTACATGATTCACTTAACCGCTGCAGCGGTTCGTTTAATGACTGTGACAAAAAGGACGAAAAACTCACTTAACGGCTGCCTTGCTTAACAATGGAAAACTGGGGCTCAATTGTGGTCATAAATCAAGGATTACCTGTAGTTTTCTAAACTGCATTGCGTTTGCTTAAGAGTTTGCGCTATGTTTTTGGCTTCAAATGGAACGGAACATTTTATTCACAAATGAATTCAGGAGATGAATGGTTAATTAAAAATAAGTAAATAAAACCTTTTCTGTGGAAAGAAAGCCACAGGAGAGCAGTTTCCTTGAACTGCAGCCCAGACAGAAGGAAATTTAAAACTTGTGTTTCTGTCTCCAATAAAACAGTGTTTTTCTTATGGCTTTCTTGTTGCTAATTACAATGTAGAAGATTCACTTAACAACTGTGACCAAAGTTGTTGTCATAAGGTCCGGCACAATTCACTTAACAACTGCTTGCTTAGCAATGGGAATTCTGGTCTCAATTGTGATTGTAAGTCAAGGACTACCTTTACTACAGAGATTGTTAAACTGAAGAAGCGATGTAACAGAAGACAAAGTTTCAAAACTTGCTCAAATATCAATCACTCAGAATAGAGCTGGGGATCTTGGAGATCTTCTAGTCCAACCCACTGCTCAAGCAGGGAACCTTATACTGGTTCTGTGGGCGTGGCTTGGTGGGCATGGTGTGGCTTGGTGGGCATGGCTTGTGGACATGGCAGGGGAAGGATACTGCAAAATCTCCATTCCCACCCCACTCCAGGGGAAAGATACTGCAAAATCTCCATTCCCACCCCACTCCAGGGGAAGGATACTGCAAAATCCCCATTCCCTCCCCACTCCTGGGAAAAGGATATTGCAACATCTCCATTCCCACCCCACTGGGGCCATCCAGAGGTGGTATTTGCTGGTTCTCCGAACTGCTCAAAAATTTCCGTTACCGGTTCTCCAGAATCTATCAGAACCTGCTGGATTTCACCCCTGTCTTAGTTGCTCTTTGCACTATTTCCAAAGTCTTTTTGTAGTAGTGTGTGGTGACCAAAACTGGATGCAGTATTCCAGGTGTGGCCTTACTAAGGATTTATAAATCTTTAAATTATGAAGGATTTATAACTCTTTCAATAAATAAGGATAAATAAGAATAAGAATATCCTTTATTTAAATAAATAAGGAAATAATCCTTGTATGCTGATGGTGTCAGCACAAGGGTCTGTGAGTGATCTATTATCCCAAACCAAATATCCTTTAAAATCAGCAAGATAGTCCAGACATCTTCGGCTTACATTGGATCCAAAACAAAAGTTATCTGTCTTTTCTTTTCTCTTTTTCTTTTTAAGAGCATAAGTAGTCATTTTCAGATTTGGGTCTGGAGCTAGACAAATAGCTTCTACTCTGTTGGAACTGGCAACTCAGACTGCGGAAAATTGATGTGTAATTATTGTTTAAACTGCTTTTCTTAAATTCCTATCCCTGGAAAGGCTCCACTTCGGTGGTTGTTTTTTTTATGGCAAAACCCCCCACCAAGAGTCTGTAAAAATCCCTCTTCTGTTTTTGTTTTTAAATCCAACTATTAAAAAGTGTGGCTTTTGAAAAACAAATATGCAATGAGTAATAAAACCAAGGGGTTTGTTCAATTTTTGTACATTCCGGAGAAGACAGTAGATTGGAGCTGATGTTAGCCATGATTTACTTTCTTTGAAATCATGCCTACAGCAGGAAGCAGCAGCCTTAAAAAAAATGTTCTACCAAATCTGAAGTTCAAAGAGATTGGATGGGCAGTGATGGCAAACCTTTTTGCCATCGTGTGCCAAAAGCTGGGAGAATATGGGGGGGAGGGTCGTGTGTGCGCATGCCCACCACCCATAATGTAATGCCCCCCCACGTGCCCCCCTGCGATGCCCTGCCCCGCTGCACATGCGCATACCCCTCTCCCGCGCCCTGTTTTGGGCCTAGCAGGCCTCCCTGAAGCCTACGGAGGCCAGAAACAGCCTACTTCTGGACTTCTGGTAGGCCCTATTGGCCCGTTTTTCACCCTCCCCAGGCTCCAGAGGCTTTCCTGGAGCCTGGGGAAGGTGAATACAGCCCATTTCCGGACTTCCGGAAGGCCCATTTTTCGCCCTCCCAGAGCCTCCACATGAGCCCTGTACTTACCTGGCATCCAAAATGGGCCATGTGGAGATTCCTGGGAGGGGAGGGGCGGCGTGGGCGTGCCCAGCCAAAAATCAGGTGGCCGGCACGTGCGTATGCGCAGTGAAGGCAACCTAAGGCAACAGCTCGCGTGCCCGCAGAGATGGCTCCGTGTGCCACCTGTGGCACGCTTGCCATAGGTTCGCCATCACAGTTCTAAACTATTTCTAGCAGAATGAGAAAGTCTCTAACCATTTCTCAAAGGCAGAAGTCCCATTTCTTGGGGACCAGATGACAGTTGCTCATTGACGTATGACCACAACAGATCTCAACATTTCCGTTGCTAAACAAGACAGTTGTTAAGTGAATTTTTGCCCCATTTCATGACCTTTCTTGACACAGACGATTGAATAAAAGAATGATAACCCAGGGAGATTACAGACCATTAGAGAGATGGTAATTAATTACAACTATAAATGTAACCTTCAGTAGAATATTCACACATATTTCTTGACAACAGAATCCTATGATTTTACTTTGTTGTGACTCACGCTGATTATTTGGCTCCTCTGATCCTTTATTTCATTTTGTATTCCAACAAATATAAATTATGGTTCTAAAGACTTCTGCTGTTGAATTTCCCCATTTTGTTTTTTTTAGTGATGTTGGACAAATGGCAGCGTTTGGACACGACCTCCACTGTTATTGATCCTTCCATTTCTAAATTTGATGTCATCCAGGTCAGCAGAGATCCTTCCAGTGAGTTTGCTGCCATCCGAGATTTTTGTCTCTCAGGTAAGATGGCCTGTTTTCCAAAAATGATGCTCCTTCCTTCCTTCCTTCCTTCCTTCCTTCCTTCCTTCCTTCCTTCCTCCTTTTTCCTTGCTTCCTTCCTTCCCTTCCTTCTTCCCTCAGATTTCAAACATGGTTTGCCATTGCCTTCTTTGCTGGGTTGAGAGAAAATGACTGGCCCATGGTCACTCAGTTGCCAAAGGTAGAACTAGAACCCCTGGTTTCTACTTTGCTATCTTCATCGCTACAGCAAACTGCCTCTCAGACTTCTTAAATGCAAGTTGTATTAATTACATTGCTAATTGACTAACTGGAATTAGTGTGCCGTTTTTTTAAACAAAGTGTGGAAATAATGTGGAAATAGAAGTAGGGTAGAATCAGGACAGACTTGAAGGGAGTTACTGAGATCGTTTTAATTACTAACTTCTAAGAAAGCCATTAGAAACTGGAGGCCGAATCCCATGGCTTATATTTCACATTAGATGCCTTTTTGAAGTTTTTCCCAACTTTAAAAGCAAATCAGCAAAAGAAAAGAAAACAAAAAAAAACAAAAAAAAATTATTTAGCTGTGTCTGGAAGCCCTGATTATTTTTGAAATTTTCTGGGCAGGAATGAAATAGATTCTTTCTATCTAATGAAAACTGCTGTCTATAGGATGGCATCTCTATGGCCAAGAGCAGACATTAGAACATCTAGAACTTCTAGATTCAGCTTTTCAGGGCTGGACTAATCCAAAGGCACTATTTCTGTTTTGAGCTTATCTCAGACGTTAACAACTCAAAAGCAGGCTCATAGCTTGATCCTATTTCCTGCCTTTTGGTGTGGGGGTAAGACTTGTAACATTTATTTTTTTTATTTTTTTTTAAATTTTAAAACAAACTTTATTCGTTCTTAAAAAAACATTTAAAACAAATATAAGAAAAACATACAAGTTTCTCTTAATCGAAGACAAAATTACATATACAGTACATATTGTAACTTGTAACATTTATAAAACAGATGATATGAAATTCATCTGGAAAATCCTCCTCCTCCTCAGGGATGGGTGGGCTTCAAAAATTTCAGCAATGGGTTCTCTGTTGGGTTGCTGGGTGGGCGTGGCCATGGTGGGCGTGGCCTAGTCGGCCTCCTGAACCATGGCAGGGGGAAGGGGTTTCCTCGAGCTTCCGGAAGGGTGAAAACTGCCTCCCCTGGGCTCTGGAGGCCCTCTGGAGGCCAGAAACGGGCCCGTTTCCGGCCTTCTGGAACTTCCGGGAGGCCCGTTCTTCCCCCTCCCTGAGCCTCCATGTAGGCCCTGCACTTACCTCGCATCCAAAATGAGCCACGAGGAGACTCCTGGGAGGGGTGGAGCAGGGGTAGGAGGGGTGGGATACGGTGGGTGGGAGCAGCCAGGGGTGGGATTTGGAGGTTCTCCGAACCGGCCATAACGTTAGCTATGGGTTCTCCCGAACCCGGGTGAACCCATAGCAGCCCACCCCTCCTCCTCCTCCTCCTCCTCCACCTGCATCTCCTCCTCCTCCTCCGTTCACTCAGCTAGATGGTCACAACATAAAGAGAAACTGCTTGATTCCTTTAGAAACAGGCCTAACGTCACAATTAACCATTGAAAATAATTAGTACTAAGATGTATATCCTGCAGCGATTTTTCCCGTATCTATGCATGTCCAGACTGCAGCTCTCAGAATTCCTCAGAAGGTCTCTTTATCTCTGGAGTGCATCAAGTTGGAAAAAAATGTATCCTACGTTATCATATACAAAGCTGTATCTTTTGTAATAACTGTCCCTTCTTTTCATATGATATTTATGGAAGGCCTAGGATACGGAGTGTCCAGTGTAACACGGCTGAAAGCAACTGCAAAGAAATTGGGGCTTTCATTACTCTACTGCAGGGGTCTCCAGCCTTGGCAACTTTATGTCTTGTGGACTTCAACTCCCAGAATTCCTCAGCCAGCACATGGGAGTTGAAGTCCACAAGTTGTAAAGTTGCCAAGGTTGGAGACCCCTGCTCTCTTGGACAGTAAATAGATTCTATTTGTTTCTTTTGATGAACCTTAAACCACCTCCTGAGATGGCCTTCTAAATATCATCACTGTAGCCGCCTGGGAATTGCCCAAGCTTGTTGGGTCCATTATGGATTATGTTCCCCATTTCGATCTCCAAAATATCAGTTTTCACCTGCTCTTTGTTTTATATATAATATATAATAACAGAGTTGGAAGAGACCTTGGAGGTCTTCTAGTCCAACCCCCTGCTTAGACAGGAAACCCTACACCACTTCAGACAAATGATTATCCAACATCTTCTTTAAAACTTCCAGTGTTGGAGCATTCACAACTTCTGGAGGCCAGTTGTTCCACTGATTAATTGTTCTAACTGTCAGGAAATTTCTCCTTAGTTCTAAGTTGCTTCTCTCCTTGATTATTTCCACGCATTGCTTCTTGTTCTGCCCTCAGGGGCTTTGGAGAATAGCTTGACTCCCTCTTGTCTGTGGCAGCCCCTGAGATATTATCCGCCTGTGAAATTCACAGTTGGTCATTTCTTTCTTTACAGTTTGTTCAAAGGACAACCTGTGCCTAATGGCCACCCTTGAAATGTTGCCATCAGCAGCACGATGCATGTTCTATCCAGAAACACAGAGTTGTAGCCTGAGTCTACAAGGCCACCGCTGTCGTATTTTGCTCAAGGAGCCAGCTACTTACATCTATCGAAAGCAAGGTGCGTACGTAGCAAAAGGTTAAGGAGACTTGGTGTGCTAATCTTTGCTTTCCCTGAAACACAAAACTAGGAGACACAGTGAAAATAAACCAGCACAGCAATAGATCTTACAGCCGTTGAACAATGCCAAGTTTTGTTAAGAATAGAAGACTAAGAGTGAATACAGTATAATGCTGCCCACAATCAAAGGCATAGATGTAAACCACAGATGAAGGCAGGAACTGAGCATGCAACCAAGTAGATCAGGGGTGTCAAACTCAAGGCCCAGAGGCCAGATCTGTCCTGCGGGGTGCTTAGATCTGGTCCGCGGGACCCCCCTGGAAACAGCAAAGGATCGGTCCGAGTGCCTCTGCCAGTGAGTGACCCTCGCAAGCTCCAAGATCTATGTGCGACCCTCGCAAGCTCCGTTTTCACTGGGAGAGAGTTGCAGGAGGCCGTTGCAGTCAATAGTGGAGCTTGGGAGCCTGTTTTCACTGGCAGAGTGCTCAGGCCACCACATAAGGCCCCTGTCAGGCCCCTGACATAAGTGACGTCGAGCTGGCCCTGTCCACCCCCGACCACACCCACCCCGGTCCCCTGAGGTCAAACACAACCCTGATGTGGCTCTCAATGAAATCGAGTTTGACACCTCTGAAGTAGATGATGTCCTGTCAGGAGCATCTGCACAGGGATAGACCCAACCAACTCCAGATGGGAGATTCCATATAAGGTAGCAGAACATAAGACGGCTAAGACCCTATGGGATTTCCAGGTCCAGGCAGAAAGTCAGGCAGGTGTTGGCCAAGCAATCAGACATCAAGGTAGTAGACAAGGATCAGAAGACAGCCGTTGGGATTAGATCAGTGGTGAAATCTAAAATTTGTTACTACCGGTTCTGTGGGCGTGGCTTGGTGGGGGGAGTTTAATGTGACTGGGTGGGTGTGGCCAATTGTTTTTTTAACTTTTAAAACCATTTTTTCTTCAACCTCTTGGGCGAAGAGGTTGTAAAAAAATGCTTTCAAAAGGTTCTGACGATCCAAGCTGAGTTGCCTGATTAACAGAGACTTTTTTTCTTTTAAATGCCTCTGACGATCCAAGCTGAGTTGCCTGATCGTTAGAGGCATTTAAAAGAAAAAAAAAGTGTCTGCCGATCAGGCAACTCAGCTTGGATCATCAGAGGCATTTAAAAGAAAAAAAGGGTTTTTTTTCTTTTAAAAGCCTTTGACAAGCCCACCTGAGCCGCACAATCATCAGAGGCTTTTTTTTTTTTACTTTTAAAAGCATTTTTTCTACAACCTCTTCGGCCGAAAAAATGCTTTTAAAAGTAAAAAAAAAAAAGCCTCTGATGATTGTGCGGCTCAGGTGGGCATGGGGGGGGGCAGGGATTTTTGCTACCGGTTCTCCGAACCACCCGCCTCCATCGCTACCGGATCGGGAGATCTGGTCCGAACCGGGAGCATTTCACCCGTGGATTAGATGTTGCAGTGCCAAGTGACAGTCTATGGAGGTTCTCAGTCATCCAGGTCATGGTTGTCCCAAAGGTGCTTTTTTATCAAGAGGCAACTGGACTTTCTGACTTTTCTTTGGAGGTGTTTCACTTCTCATCCAAGAAGCTTCTTCAGCTCTGACTGGATGGTGGGGAATGGAAGGATTTATACTCCTTGCAGACAGCTGGTCATTTGCATCCTTTTAGCAAGTAAGGAGAACAAACCCATCAGGACAAGATTCAGCATCTGCATTTGAAAGACGAGGCTACTCTTTTGAAGGCAGCAAAGTCCACATTTTGGAGAGGGAGGACCACTGGTTTGAAAGAGAGATCAAAGAGGCCATCCAAGTCAAAACTGAACAGCCATCTCTCAACAGAGGGGGGTGGGATACAACATCATCTACCTTCAGTCTACAACACAATCCTTTCAACAGTTCCAAGAAGGCTCCATACCCATTTCCACTACTCAGGTGACCCTGAGGACACAGATAAACCTCTGGGTGACCTCAATGACTCTCTAAAAGAATGCAAATGACCAGCTGTCTGCAAGGAGTATAAATCCTTCCATTCCCCACCATCCAGTCAGAGCTGAAGAAGGAATGGTTAGTGGATCAAGAAGAAGGGCAGGCAAAGAACACACTGTCTTGATCCCATCAAAGCTGGTAGAAAAGATGAACATCCAACAACTGAAAGAAGCTGTGTGTCAGGGATCCAAGTAACACCCCCAATGAAAGAAGACTCTGAGGCTTGAAGTTCCTCAAAGTTCCATTATATTAGAGATGTCATATTGGCACATCTGGGAAAACCCGAATCTGAAAGTTTCCAGGTTTTCCACACCCAAAAGAAAGTCCAAGTCCCTGCCCAGCACCCACATGTCCATCACATGGTCCAATCAAAGCACCGTCCCAACTGGAGATGCCTCCCAGTTCCAGCCATCCAGGTGCAAGGCAAGATGTCCTTGACTTCTTTTGCCCCACCAATGTCCAACTCCAAAGGCAGCTGACAACTGTCAGACAGTCCTCATCCCATCTCTGCCTCCGATGCAGAGCACTCATCAGAGCCTTCCCCAGACTTCAGGACTGGCCCATGTTCCTCCCCAATCTCCTCACTGTCTGAGTCTGCCACCAGCTCTGCTGGCCGCTGGCGGGCCACAACAGTTCTAACATACAGTCCCCAGATTGAAACGTGCATCATTAGGCTTAAAGCTTCTTCTCAAAGAGGTTTTTTTCCCCCCATCTCTGTGCAGACGTGATCCTACCCACTGCTGAAAGAAACAATGAGCCATCAGTATTCATCCCATCACAAGGGACCATGTTGGGCAGCTCTCAAATAATTCAAGTTGGCTCTGAATGGAAGAGTATTGGACGGTTCCTCGGGGTTTCATATGCAGCACCTCCGGTGGGAGAGAATCGGTTCCATCCTCCACAGCCTTTCACCTGGACAGACTTCTGGAATGCAACCACAACCCGGTGAGACGACCAAGTGTCAGGGTTCCAAGTAACACCCCCAACAAAAGAAAACTCCGAGGCTTGAAGTTCCTCAAAGTTCCATTTTATTAGAGATGTCATATTGGCACATCTGGGAAAACCCGAATCTGAAAGCTTCCAGGTTTTCCCCACCAAAGGAAAGTCCAAGTCCCTGCCCAGCATCCATAAATCCATCACATGGTCCAATCAAAGCACTGTCCCAACTGGAGATACCTCCCAGTCACACCCCTCCAGGTACAGGGCAAGATGTCCTTGACTCTCTGAGAAAGGAATGTTATTTTGCCTACATATCGCCCATGCTTCATACAATCCTTCCTCCCAGTTTCCCACAGAAGTAAATGTGGCAGGCCTGAAGGCCCAATGCAAAAGATGGCTTCCAGGCCTGACACCAAGAGCACCTGAACAAGCAAGACTCACTTTCTTAGATATCGTAATTGGCCACAATTGAGCCCAAACTTTTTGTTGCTAAGCGAGACATTTGGCAAGTGAATTTTGCCCCATTTTACGACCTTTTCCTGCCACAGTTATTAAGTGAATCGCCGCAGTTGTTAAGTTATATGATCCAAATTTGGGTGCTCGGTAACCAGAATGTATTTATGATGGTTGCAGCATCCCAGGGTCATGTGGTCAGCCATTTGCGACTTTCCAAGCTGGCTTCGGACAAGCAAAGCCAATGGGGGGAGCCGAATTTGTTTAATGGCCACATGATTTAACTAATGACTGCACTGTTTTACTTAACAGCCACGGCAAAGAAAGATCATCAAAATTGCATGACTCATTTAACAACTACCGTATTTTTCGGATATAAGAAGCCCAGGCGTATAAGACGCACCAAGATTTCGAAGAGGAAAACAAGAAAAGAAAAAAGTTTTTGCCCTCCGCACGTCCGGTTTTTGCCCTCCCCAGCCCCCAGGAGCACTCTGCAGGCCTCCCAAAACCCCCACACATCACGCTTTTGCCCTCCCCATCCCCCAGGAGCACTCTCCAGGCCTCCCAAACCCTTTGCATGCTCATTTTTGCGAAAGATGGGCCCGTTTTCATGAAAAACGGGTCCGTTTTTGGCCTTCAAAACCCCCACACACATCGTGTTTTTGCCCTTCCCAGTCCCTCTGCAGGCCACCCAAACCCTCTGAACATCCCTTTTTTTGTGAAAAACGGGCCTGTTTTTGGCGAAAATGGGACACATGGGGCGGGGTTTCGGGAGGCCAAAAATGGCTGCATTCGGTGTATAAGATATACCAACATTTCCACCCTCTTTTAGGGGGAGATAAGTGTGTCTTATACTCCAAAAAGTACAGTAGCTTGCTTAGCAGTGGAAATTCTGATTCCAATTGTTGTCATGTGTCAAGAACGACCTGTAATCGTTATTTGGTCCAATGCAGAAGGAAAGCTTACATAGATGGTTCAGCCTGTGTTGGAATTTCCATAGGAGGAAAACAATTGTACCAAATTCTCAAGCTTGACGTTAAAATGTTCACAAAAATAGCAGTAATATATTTTTTTATATTTTTTTTTCCATTTGGTCTTGCTTGTATGATTGGATGGTTGAGGGAACTCTCATTTTGGGTGACCTAATTTCTTGGGCACCTGAGTTGTGTGGGTTGTGTTAACTCAACCAGATTCTGCTTACAATTTTACCACAAAAGAGTAAATAAATATATAACCTAAACATAAATAACAACGTAAACGATAACCGAACATAAATAATATTAGGTTGGGAGACCACCAGAAAAATAGAGAAAAACCAAGAGGTGAATATTACCCCAGGAGCTTCCATTCAGCTTTATTTTATTTTTTTTCCATTTGGTCTTGCCTTGTATGATTGGATGGTTGAGGGAACTCTCATTTTGGGTGACCTAATTTCTTGGGCACCTGAGTTGTGTGGGTTGCGTTAACTCAACCAGATTGTGCTTAACAGTTTACCACAAGAGAGGCCATATCTTGCTCATCCAGGTGCGCAGGGCCGTGCAGTTAAGACCCACAACACTGATGTATGTTGTCTTGAGCCACATTGTCGTTCTTTATTGCATTCCTTTGCTTCAGAAAAAAAGAGTGTATCATTAGGGTCTTTAGAAGTGAGATGTGAACTGACAGGTGTCTTTTTTTTTTTTTAATGGTCCAGGAGTTTTAAGAGATCAGCCCTTGATTAGATATAAATTATAAGCATTCTTTCTTGATGAAAAGCTGCTTGAAACTGTTAATTCGGGAGTTGTTCGTGCAAGAAATCAAATTTTAAAAAGATACTGAAAGCCCTCCTTGTAATATTGCTATAATCTGCTGCACTTAATTCTTTGTTATGTCTTTACTAAATTAATAATGCTTTCACAGTTTAATTATATTATGCTTTGTTAATAATGCTTCAGCCTGTGGACTTATGGTTTAAAATAAACATATTAAGTACAGGATAAGGAAATAATTTGAGAGTGGCAAACAATAGAGTCCACAGACAGACGCATTATTGTTATTTATACCAGGGGTCTCCAACCTTGGCAACTTGAAGACTTCTGGATTTCAACTCCCAGAATTCTGAGAGTTGACGACCACAAGTCTTCAAGTTGCCAAGGTTGGAGACCCCTGATTTATACAGTAGCAGCAAAGGGGAAAATATCCCCCTTTTTTATGATATTTAGAAATTAAGCATAACAAAAGAGAGGGAAGGAAGATAGAGATGAAGATAAACAGATAATGCATGTAATTGTTATCCTTTTTTAAACTTTACTAAAAGCTAAAAAATCTAGATTAATCTATACTAATCAGAAGTATTTAAAACATTCGTTTTGTAGAGTTGCTATGTTCTAGCCTGAGATTTGGGACCACAGATTTCAAATATTTGAAGAGTTGTCTAGAATGTATCCATCTACACAAAATCTCTACATGTCCCCACAATTACAGTACTGCAATAAAAGTCCAGATCTGCTGTCTAAATGTCTACATGTTTGGTTCTGTTATTATGACATTTTGGGGATGTTCTGGTAGATCTAGAAAACGCAGCTCACCGTATACCTGTTTGGATATATGGTTAAAAAAAAATGGAGTTCAACTATCTCCGATTAGCATGCTCTCCAAAGGAATGGATGTCTGTTCCCAGAATTCTCAGCATTGACTATACTGACTAGGGAATTCTGGGAATTAAAGTCACGCATTTGGAAGGTACTCCGATTGAGGGAGGTTGCTCTAGTTCAGTGCTTCTCAACCTTGGCAACTTTAAGATGTGTGGACTTCAACTCTCAGAATTCCCCAGCCAGCAGGGCTACCTGGGGAATTCTGGGAGTTGAAGTCTACAGTCCTTTTTTGTTTTTAAATAATATTTATTAAATTTCCAAAGATTAAAATACACAGTACAAAAAGAAACATAATACACAAAAAAAGCAAGAAAAACACACACACGCACAAAAAACCCCAAAAAATATAAACAACCAAAAACAAACATATCAAAATTTCAATACTAATAACAACTTTTCTGCATCGGTATCTCTAGCCTATTTAACCTCTTTACATAAATTCTACTTCTAAATATCTGTATCTTAAACTTACATCTTTATCTATAGTATGAAGTCTATACTTCCTAAAGTTGTTCTAAATGTAAAACTGATCTTGCATGACATTCACAACCTTATTCCTTTGTGTCCTTGTGATCACTAGAACTTTAAACAAATCATAAAGTACTTTATTGTATCTTTAGAGCTAGCTGCTGGCAACCAGGAGATGATAGCCTTTCTTCGGTCAGTGAAGATTGCTTGTTTTTGAACATCTTTGTCCCACAAAATAATGTAAGTACTGAATTAACGCACTATCTTAGTCTTCTCTGACCATTCCCTCATTCCAGGAATCTACTCTGAGGAAAGAAGCATGAGATGAGGTTGCTAAACCCATTGACGATGGGATCATTTTGGATTTATGCTTAGATACTCATGGAATGTCACGGTCATTTTTAGACAAAGGAAGTTTTGGGGTGAGCAGCTGGTGAAATTAGGAGCCTTGAACATTAGGGATTTTGATTGTGTAGAAGTCTATGTGTCACATTATGAAGCTCTTTTAGACTGGTTAATATCTTGGAGACAGGGGTTCTCCACACGGTGTGGTCAAAATGTCAAGATGGCCACCACAATGGTATCATCGAAGTTCCCTTTGCACATAAATGCTATCATAAACAATAACTTAACATAAATAATATTAGGTTGGAAGACCACCAGAAAAATATAGAAAAACAAAGAGGTGTAAATTGCACCAGGAGGTTAAAAAATGTCACTGCAAAGGATCAGGACCATCGTTAAGTTGCAGTTCAAAAATTTATTGCTCAACACTGTACACAAGAACCTAAACCAACTAAAGTTCAAAACTAAATTGGTGCCAGATACAGAATTCAGGAGGAGTTGAACTTAGATGTTTGTGGCAATGTAATGACTCTAGGCTGATAATGCACTTAACTCTGCCTCTCCCAGCTCTGCATTTTGTCCTCCTACAAACAATCAAAGGAGGCAACTATACATGACTTATGTATCATTATAAGAAAATAGAATAGTTTCTTTTCAAAGCAGTTTTGAGAATTTGGGAGCAGGAAGAAAATGGGAGGGTGATGAAGTGGCTTCAGACTCAATGATCTCATGTTCCTCAAACTTCGAACACTTTGAATGGCACTTCAGCTGAATGGAAACTGATATTAGGATATTCCTATGCATATCTTCTGACCTAGGCCTCCTGAAACAGTAAAAGCACACAATGAGTCCCCAAAACCCTCTTTTTATTTCAACGGCTGTGAATTCTGCTCATTCAGAGCCTGTTCATTCTCAATCTGTTCATTCATAGATGAGTTCCAAATAGTTGTAAAGAGCCCAACAGAAGTCTGCCACAGTTCTTCAGGATAAAGCTGATAAACACCCACCTTTATCTCCCTTGACACACTGCCAAGGCCTAATTGGCAATTAACTTTGCAAGGCCACACGGAACACAGAGTCAACACGGAGCTTCAGAATTTACACCAACCAGAACGAACAAAGTTGCTTTCTGCAAAGGCTCATGTCCCTTTGCTCCTCCTTTATGTCTTATGGGAGGGGCCACTCATCTCCAAGCCCTACTCCCGAGTCGTCCCTTTTGTTTTAACTGTTCTTGCCTTCTGGCAGCTCTGCGCATGCGCGCCCTGGAAACAGGCTCTCCCTGTTCCTCTGCCTCGCTGATGTCCAACTCTGGAGGCTCTGGAGTCCGCACATAACTCCCAGATAGTCCTGGCCCCCTCTCTGCCTCTGACACAGAGCCCTCATCCGAGCCTTCCCCAGACTCCAGGACTGGCCCATGGTCCTCACCAGCCTCCTCACTGTCTGACTCTGCTGCCAGCGCTGCAGGCTGCTGGCAGACCCCAACAGCATAGATGGAATAAAAGATGGCCCTGACTTATTGGAAACACTTTAGATTTTCAACACAGTGGAGCAATTCTACCACTGGATGTAGCCAGTGATTTGATTTGAAAACTGAAAGGAGGTTCAGAATCTACAGAGGTACTGTACCTATCTGTGACTCTTTAAAGCAGCTGCATCTTTCCCCAGCATTATATGATTGCCCCATGTCAGGTATCCCATGATCTCAGGAAAAGATAGGTTTGGTGTAAGAAGCCACAGACAGGTGCTACATTCATGCCTCTGTTCTCTCTACCGTCCCTTCATACGCCTTCAAAAAGCGCTGAAGGCCCTGCTCAGTTTTTCTGCTTTTCCTGTTGTTCATAATCAGGCGTTCAAGGGCTTCAATTCTGAACCCTGAAGTGGTTGCGGAGAAAAGAAAGAGGGGAAGTGTTAACTGTCTGTTGTGCTTTTTCTCCAATTTAACCAGATGAGGAAGTTTTGGTGAGAAACATTGTTTTGAAACGATAGAGGGGGAAGAGCTATGTTAGTCTATGGCAACAAATTGAGCTCTGGAAACACGTTCAGATTTAACCAACTTTAGTAAAGGTAAAGGTTCCCCTCACACATATGTGCTAGTCGTTCCCAACTCTAGGGGGCAATGCTCATCTCTGTTTCAAAGCCGAAGAGCCAGCGCTGTCCGAAGACGTCTCCATGGTCATGTGGCCGGCATGACTCAATGCCAAAAGCGCACAGAACGCTGTTACCTTCCCACTAAAGGTGGTCCCTATTTTTCTACTTGCATTTTTTTTTTACGTGCTTTCGAACTGCTAGGTTGGCAGAAGCTGGGACAAGTAACAGGAGCTCACCCCATTACGCGGCACTAGGGATTCGAACCGCTGAACTGCCAACCTTTCGATTGACAAGCTCAGCGTCTTAGCCACTGAGCCACCGCGTCCCAAGTGAACCAACTTTACTAGAGCATAATTACGTGACTGCAAATGGAAATTCTTCATTTGTGGAGACAACCAGGATATGTTTAAATTTCACACAAATGCAAATGAGTATGCCTCCCTAGGAGATTCATCTCATACCAAAATCTTGCATCTTTCTCCAGTAATCCTTTCAGAATTCAGTGAAGTCTATGGATCAGCCATTTTTTTATTCACCATGCAGTGTTGAATGTGATGCTCTGGGTGGAAAGAGAAAAGAGGGAACAAGAAAGGAAAGAAAGAAAGAAAGAAAAGGAAGGAAGGAAGGAAAAGAAAGAAAGGAAGGAAGGAAGGAAGGAAGGAAGGAAGGAAGGAAGGAAGGAAGGAAGGAAGGAAGGAAGGAAGGATCCCATGTCTTGTATAATACTTCTTGCAAGATTTCAGCATTCTCTTTACTGAAATGATACAATATGGGGGGTATCAATCATTTGGGGGGAAAGATCTCCACAAGTGTGGAGGTTCAAGACTGTCTTAGAAATTTCACTTTCCCAAATTATCATTAATTACTCATGACATATAAAGTATATTAGATCACGGTTAGAAAAGTAGGAACCTCTGCTATTTTCAGTTAAAATTAGAACTCCTCCACAGTAGATGTTTTTGGCCCTGGTCAACTCTGGCAGCAATGAGTATGACAAGTTAGCAATGCTAAGATAAGGGCAACATTAATGAATATTATTTATGGTTGATCTTACTTTTCAGTTGACAGCTTTCTTTAATTGTTTTAATTGTTAATTAATTTTAATATTTAGTTGTTTTTACTCTGAGCTGTCTATGGGACTGTATGTTTTAAACTGCTTTTTATCAATTTGTATTTGTGGCAGCTTAGAGCAGAGGTCTTCAATCTTGGCAGCTTTAAGACTTGTGGACTTCAACTCCCAGAATTCTCCAACCAGCTGTGCTAGCTGGAGAATTCTGGGAGTTGAAGTCCACAAGTCTTAAAGCTGCCAAGTTTGAAGACCTCTGACTTAGAGTGTGTGGGAGAGGGCAGCAGCTATAATAAATTTCAATTAACCACAATAACAATAAACCTATCATTTATTGTGGCAGGGAGGGAATCTACCAGTGCTGGTTTTCTTCCACAACAGCATAAATGCTGATGACCAAGGCGAAAAGGCAGCCCTTGATGGATCCTACTTAGCTGGAGTTGGAAATCTCATTGTCGTCACTGCAAATTACCGTGTAGGAGTTTTTGGCTTTTTAAGCACTGGTAAGTTGTATCTCAGTTTGAAAATAGGAGGTTATTATTATTATTATTTTTTAATGATGAAACCAGAATTATTCCAGCTGGATCTTATGGAAATGGAATTAGGAAAGAAATATGGAATTCAATACCTTATTGGAAACTGCAATGAGATTATTGTTTGCATAAAATTGGAAAAGCAATGTCATAGCTCCAGCGGAAGATTGGATTAAAAAGTTAATTGAGTTTGCAGAAATGGGGAAACTGACCAGCTTTGTCAGATAAAAACTGACAAAAGAATTTTTTGACAGATTGGAAATCTTATGTTTTAAAAAAGAAGCAAGTATCAGATGGATGATTTGGGGATATGTTCTCTCTCCCTCATTTTATCTTTCTGGGAACTAGGGAAGGCCTAGTCTAGTGATGGCAAACCTTTTTGGCACCAAGTGTCGAAACACTCTTAGTGGACAACCAGTTAAATATAAGCCAGCATTATGCAGTAGTGACCAAAACAGCCAATGCAAACCTAAATTGCATTAGCAGAGGGATACAATCAAGATCACGTGAGGTACTAATACCACTCTATAAAGCCTTAGTAAGACCACACCTAGAACACTGCATCCAGTTTTGGTCATTACCATATAAAAAAGATGTTAAGACTCTAGAAAAAGTTCAGAAAAGAGCAACCAGGATGTTTAGGGGACTGGAGGCTAAAACATACGATGAACCGTTGCAGGAACTGGGCATGGCTAGTCTAGTGAAAAGAAGGACCAGGGGAGACATGATAGCAGCTTTCCAATATTTGAGGGGCTGCCACAGAGAGGAAGGGGTCAAGCTATTTTCCAAGGCACCCAAAGGCCAGACAAGGAATAATGGATGGAAACTGAACAAGGAGAGATTCAACCTGGAAATAAGGAGAATTTTTTGACAGTGAGAACAATCAACCAATGGGACAGGAGTTGCCTTCGGAAGTTGTGGGAGCTTCATCACTGGAGGCTTTCAAGAAGAGACTGGACTGCCATTTGTCAGAAATGGTGTAGGGTCTCCTGCTTGGGCGGGGAGTTGGACTAGATGACCTACCAGGTCCCTTCTAACAGATTATCAATCTGTTATCTCTTCATGGTATCAAGCCAATTGCTGAGATCCTGGCAAATACCCCCATCCTGTTGGCTCCCGACTCTGACCCACTTATCAGAAAAGCAGTATTTTTTTGTTTGTTTGTTTCAAAGGGAAAAAAGTGCTAAATCATGCCTGCATTTTCACAAGTCTTTCCACTAGCCTCAGTGGAAAGAAAATGTGGCAGCAACGTACTGTGCTTCCGTTCCTTTTCTTCTTTCACTGCTTTTTCTTCCCTGCTGAGTTCAGCACATGTGCTCATTTTATAGAATGCCCTAAATTCTTATTCAGAGCTGTTTCAAAACTTCAGTTCAGTGGTAAACCAAGATCTTAATCTCTGTGAACTTGATAGGCTAGGATACATCCACTTACTCGGATGATGAGGTGTCATCATTATTATTTTTTTTATTCTTCCTTTTGGTGGCTTTCACAGGAATTTCTTATGAATTCTTCTTTCTTAACCATACTCTTTTGTTAAAGGACATGGGCCAATAGGTTTAATAAGTTTAATATTTATTTATTTATTTATTTATTTATTTATTTATTTATTTATTTATTTGATTTTTATACCGTCCTTCTCCAGCAGGACACAGGGCGGTGGACAGCCAAAGTAGAAACACAGCATACAAAAATTAAAACAATTTAAAAGGTATTAAATAATGTTGGCCCACAATTTAAAACAACCCAGTTAAAATTAATTTCAAATTAAAACCAAAGGATGGGGTCAAGCCAGCCCAGCTAGATGAAATAAGTGAGTTTTAAGGGCCCGACGAAAAGCCCGGAGGTCTGGTATCGTGTGTATCTCTGGGGGTAGGTCATTCCAGAGGGTGGGTGCCGCCACAGAGAAGGCTCTCCCCCGCGCGGCCGCATTCTGGACCAGTTGGAGCCTCCGGGTGCATCCCAAGGGGAGCCCCACTCCAGGTGGGAGGTGACAAGCGCTTGAGTGACCGTGCGTAGGGTCACTCAATATAAGAATAACGTGAGGAGAAACAGAATGATAGCAGATTAAAGGAATTGGAAGGGACCTTGGAGGTCTTCTAGTCCAACCCCCTGCTCAGGCAGGAGACCCTATTACCATTTCAGACAAATGGTTGTCCAATCTCTTCTACTAAAAATCTCCAGTGTTAGAGCATCTACAGCAGTGGTGGGTTCCTCCCGGTTGCGCCCGGTTCCGCCGAGCCGGTAGTGGTGACGATATGATGTCACCGAACTGGTTCTGCTCCCCCTCCCCCTCCCCCCTGCATTATTCTTATCTTTTATTTGGCCCCACCCCCAATCTATTGCTGCCTCCTGAGTCCCAGCTGATCGGCTAGAGGGAAAAAAAACTGTTTAAACTCTTGTCGCGGGGCTTCAAAGGGCTGCCCTACAGCTGATCAGTGTTAAAAGAAAACACGTGCCCCATTTTGGCTCCCAGGTAAGTGCAGGAAGGCCTATTAGGCCCAAAACGGTGTGCGGGGGGGCTGCCGCACACACCCCGCAGCCGATTTTTGCTCCCAGGAGGCTTCAGGGAGGCCTCCTAAGGCCAAAATGGGACATGGGGGGGGCAGCGCGTCTCCCCTCCACGGCCCATTTTTGTTCCCAGGGGGGTGCAGGAGGCCGAGTGCTGCCTGTCACACCCCTTGGCCACACCCACCATGGGCACGCCCACCCAGCCGGTCATGAGGGCAGAGAACCGGTTGTTAAATGATTTGAATCCCATCACTGATCTACAGCTTCTGGAGACAAACCCTATATAGACATATATAGAAATTAACGTCAAAGGTTATACGGTGATGTCTCCAATAATGGTGGAAGATAACCAGGTTCTTCTTTATTTTTAGAATGGGTGGAGTGTCTTTTCATTAAAATATGGGTCATTAATCCTTAAATAATAAGAAAGACCCTGTTGAGTCAAGTTTGATTTCCTGGTAGCTACAAATATGGCCGTGTTGACTTCTCGACAGTATTATGGAAGTAGATTATAATTCCCTTCTTCTGGGATTTCCCCCCCAAATTCCTGCCTTAGCCTATAACCCTGTGATGTTCTGGTGGTCTTCAATTACAGTATTAACCAGGTTGTACCCTGATAAGTTTTGAAGGTTCAACCTGGCAGTATTTGCAATGGCTTAATGCAATGCATTTTAATCCTCTCTCCCCCAAATGAAAAATGAACCTACGATATATGAATGGTTTGTCAGCCACTTGAGATAATATGAATTTGAGAGAAGACGTGGAGGTCATAAACATGGTAATGGAGATCATGGGGCCTACAGACCATAAATTGTCCAACTTCAATAGGGTCCTTGGTGCTCTGTGAGTTTGCTGGGTTTCTTGCAGTTGTTTCATTACTAAACTAGGTAGCACCTTCAGTGCTAGTAGATAGCGGATAATGGGAGTAAACCCTACTAGCATTGATGATATCACCTAGTTTGGTAATGAAATGTCTGCAAGAAAACTAAGCTCAGAGAGCACCAAGGACCCCACAATTCAATCCTGAGCATTTTCTTCTGTTGGAATCCTTGATCCACATTGCCTGTTAGCAGGGTCTCAGAAAGTGAAAAATGCTTTTTACTGCATGATAATGATTGTGCTACATCTGTTCTAATGACTGTAGCAAAAAATGTTCTATCTAGTCATTGTTGGCAAAAAAATCTGTTGCTGCTCAAGATTAGGTTAGCTATTCAAGTCCATATTTGGCACACTGTTCCTTCCTGCCTTTAAAAAGCATTTTCTAATGTTCAGTTGCAGTTGGCCTTTGCATAACTTCAAAATATTATTCCATGCATCATACATTATGATCATTAGTTGTCCAAAACATGCAGGCTTAGAAATATCTAAAGACAGGGCAGGAGCTAAGAGAGTCTTCTTTCAACTAATTATCTTCCTAGAAAGTCTTGATCTTCTAAGGGACATTCTTTCTTTCCAGATGTTTGAAATGCTGTATGTTGTTTTGATCCCTTGTGCCAATGTGCAACCCTCCCTTTGATTATTTATTTGTGTAGGTTCCAGTGTTGCAAGTGGAAATTGGGGGCTTTTGGATCAAGACATGGCTCTACAATGGATAAGGAGGAACATTGCAAGGTTTGGGGGAGACGCGGGACAGATAACAATTGGAGCACCTGACAGGGGAGCGGATATTATCAGCATTCACCTCCTTAAGAAAACTTCGAATCCAATCCTCTTCAAGAGGGCGCTACTGATGGTAAGTCCTATTTATTTTCAGATGAGTAAGGTGTTAGAGATTCTGTTTATATGTAGCACCACAGTGCAAACAAAGAGCACAGTCACCATGTGCTTTACTCCTCACCTGTTTCTCTGTAACAGGAAACTCTACTTAGAACAAAAGAGCATAGAGTATATACCAAAGTTCCAAACTTGTAAACACTGCCATTTACTGGCTGAATACTACTGTAGTTGTTGCATAAAAATACATTCCAACAATGAATTCCAACATAAGGACAGGTGCTAAAGCTCAAAAACTTTGGCCACCTAATGAGAAAAAAAAATCATTCATTGGAAGAGACCCTGATGTTGGGAAAGACTGAAGGCAAAAGGAGAAGGGGGAAGCAGAGGATGAGATGGTTAGATAGTGTCACCGATGCAATGAACATGAATTTAGGCAAACTTGTGGGAGACAGTGGAGGACTAGGGAGCCTCGAGTGCTGTGGTCCATGGGGTCGCAGAGGATTGGACATGACTTAGCCATGAACAACAACCGTACATGAAAAAGAAGACTCCAGGTGAGTGTAAAACAGGTGTTGAATTGTTTAAAATATTTTAATATCACGAGAGATGTATATACATAAAGATACACACATGTGCATAGTTTTCAGCTCTGTCAAAGGATCATACATGAATAAAGTCCAATATTTTACAAGGGACCCCCTCTGTATAAATAAATATAAATATGGGTATATTTAGGGCATCTGTGAGATTGGCGATCAGATCTTCGTTATCTAGAAATGATGTTGATGAGATTTCCCAGAGTGCAGCAACATCCTACTCAAAGTGCTAATTCACATCCGTCTCGGTAACTCCCAAGTTGGGTTTTCTCAGATTCAATCCTCATGATACAGGAAACCAGGTTGGGATTGGTGGTTGCGCTGATAGATCATAGACTGAGTCTTTTTGGCTTTCTTTCTCACAAAAGAAGAATTGTCGTCCATAGTTAGGGCAAGGTAAGAGGCGATGCTGTTTCGGAGACCGTAGCTGAGGCCAGAGTCTTCCAATCTGAGCATGTCTGCAATGTCATCGTCACACTCCCTGGACCTTGGGAGAAAAGGAAAGTGGCTGAAAAACTTCCATGGTTATAGAAGAGAATATCTGTAGCTCGGGACTGAACGGTGGGGTCCTTTGCACTCTCTGAACTCGGTTGTTTTCTTGCCGACGTTTCATTACCCAACGAGGTAATTTCATCAGTGTTAGAAGGAAGTGGGGTTTGCTCTCTGTTTTATATACAAGCGACTTGCCCTTGTAGTTAAACAATGAACAAGACCCCAATCAAAGTGTCAACTCAGTAAACAACAGCTTACTCAAGGGGTGAACAATAACACTCCCTCCCAATCAGTATTCAGCCGGTTCGGACTGGTTCAAGCGAACCGGTAGTGGGTCCGCCCACCTGCCCTGTCCTATTTAGCCATGTTTTCTAAGCTGCGTGCATGCATTTAAGCCGTGTGTGCTCACATTTTCGATGCGTGGCGAACCGGTGGTAAAATTATGAGACACCCACTTCTGCTCCCTATACAGAGCAAGCCACTTGTATATAGCCACTTGTCTATACTTGTATAGAGAGCAAATTCCATTCCTTTGTAGTCCTGATGATGGTACTTAGTTGGGTAATGAAATGTCTGCAAGAAAATATTCATGCTCAGAGAGCAGCAAGAACCCCATGCTTTCATGCTGGGTACAGAATAGCAGTATTTCACTAGTAGTTTAGCTGTTTTGTATAATGCGTCCCCAGATTGGTAGAAAACAATAATAGGAGAATGGCGGGTAGATTTTATACGCCTTTGAGTTAAAACAGTTGTCTGCTACTGCTTGTTTCCTCCAAATATACTTTGCTCTGTTTTACAAATTGATTCCCTATTTTCTTTTCATTGCTTTGGGGTGAGCAATCCTTTTTACCTCTCCATGATCTCAGAGGAATAAATGGGTCAAAAAAAAGAAAGAAGAAGAAGCAAATTCCACAACTGTCCATTATGGATTTTATATTCACTGCTTAAGGATCCTTTGAATGGGAAGCTGTCTATGCCTATAGGTAGAATCACACACTCGTGTCAAAAGCACCTAAGTGCTTCCGGGTTGAAAGGATTAGCCCCGTGATGGCGAACCTATGGCACGCGTGCCCAAAGTGGCACATGGAGCCATGTTGCTTGGCACGCGTGGCGTTGCCCGTTCCTCTTCCAGGTTTCTGGCACGCATGTGCATGCAACGATCAGCTGGCCTTTTTGTGTGCAGCAGTGCTGGAAACCGGAAAAGCTGGTCTTTCGTTTTCTGGCATGATCATGTACACCAGCCAGCTGATTGGCGTGTGCACATGTGCGGCAGTAACTGGAAGACTTGCTGGCTGGCGTGCATGCACGCACCGGAAACCAGAAGTACCTTATCCAGTGCACGTATCACTGTTGCTGGAGGAGGGGAAGCCCAGTTAGGGGCTCCCTTCATGTCCCCGGCAGGAGCTGGACCAAAGGAGGGAGCTCAACCCCGCCATAGAGCAGCACTTGGGTCTCGAATGCGGGCTTGCTAACCCAGCTTCTTAATAATAATAATAATAATAATAATAATAATAATAATAATAATAATAACAATAACAATAACAATAACAATAACAATAACAATAATTTTATTTATATACCGTCCTTCTCCCGAAGGACTCGGGGCGGTGTACAGCAGGGGTGGGTTCTAAATTTTTTTACTACCGGTTCTGTGGACGTGGCTTATTTTGTGGGTGTGGCTTGGAGGTCATGTGACTAGGTGGGCGTGGCTAGTTGGTCAGAGTCATTTCTGGAAGGTCCTCGCACTTACGACCAGTCCTCGCACTTACGACCCGACTCATTTGTTTGCTTTTAACACTGATCAGCTGTAGGACGGCCCTTTGAAGCCCCGCAGCAAGAGTTTAAACAGTTTTTTTCCCTCTAGTCATCAGCTGGGACTCAGGAGGCAGCAATAGATTTGGGGTGGGACCAAATAAAAGGTAAGAATAACGTGGGTGGGGGGGAGGGCGGGGGGGGGGAGAACCAGTTCGGTGACATCATATTGTCACTGCTACCGGCTCGGCCGAACCGGATCGAACTGGGAGGAACCCACCACTGGTGTACAGCCAGAATTAAAACATAAATATACAGGTCATGGTTAAAATTAATTAAAATCATTAAATAGTTTTGGCCAAATTTTAAAACCCAAAATTAAAACCCGCCCTACAGCTGATCAGTGTTAAAAGCAAACAAATGAGTCGGGTCGTAAGTGTGAGGACTGGTCGTAAGTGTGAGGACCTTCCAGAAATGACTCTGACCAGCTAGCCACGCCCACCTAGTCACATGACCTCCAAGCCACACCCACAAAATAAGCCACACCCACAGAACCGGTAGTAAAAAAATTTAGAACCCACCCCTGCCGTGTTACTACCTTAACAAGTGCAGTGATTCACTTAATAACAGTGGCAAGAAAGGTCGTAAAATGGAGGGCAAAAGTAACATAACAGCTGTCCTACTTAGAGACAAAAATATCGGGCCCAGCTGGGATTGTAAATCAAGGTCTGCCTGTATTGAATGATTTATTTCCATCGCAAAATTGAGAATTTAGGGCTGTTCCTTCTCAGACTTTTGTTTTACTTCCAGTTTGGAATAGAATCTGTTTCAAGAGTCTTATCTTAAACAAGGAGTACCTTTGCATATGATTCCACCTGAAGGTTTTGTTGCGCATCACCACGGGGGGCTCTTGAGTCCTTACTTCGTGGATGGCGGTGTGTTGGGTGAGGCAAGGAGTTGTAAGGACACAGCACAGGCCATCGGCCACCTCTGCAGATTGAAACAAAGACAAAATGCATGCAATTTTAGGCTATTCATTGATACATTGATGTTCCAAGTGACTGTACAATACTATAAATTCCAGAAATGTATGTATGTATGTATGTATGTATGTATGTATGTATGTATGTATGTACAGTAGTGGCCAAAATTGTGGAAACTTTTTGGGAAAAGTGTATTTTTGAGTTTTGATGGCTAATAACAACACTTTTTATTTTTGGGAGTTTCAAGATAATCATATTCCACCGCTGGAATGGCCTGGGAATAGCCCAGACCTTAACCCAATTGAAAATCTATGGAGCTGATTAAAGGAAGTTGTTAGTCAGAAGCGATTCAGCAATAAAACCCAGTTAATAGAAGCAATCCTTCAATCTTGGTTTCACATTAGAACAGCTGCAGAACTAAAAGACTTGGTTCACTCCATGGGAAGACGTTGTAAGGACTTAATTCATGCTGAAGGTGACCCAACTAAATATTAACTGACATGGTGATAATTTCTGTATATCACGTTTTTTCTACGTGTTTCACTTTTCTTCTTTATACTGTAACTGCTGTTCTAATACAAATCCTTCATAAAAGTTATTGCATTACATTCTTGATTAAATTATCTTTCCATTGATATATAATTGTATGGTACTACTCCCCCCCAAAAGTGGTGTTATTAGCTAGTTTTAGAAAATACACTTTTCCCAAAAGGTTTCCACAATTTTGGCCACTACTGTATGTGTGTGTATATATCTATCTCCAGCGTGACTAGGCAGCGAGGCCCACGGAACACTGTTACCTTCCCACCAAAGTGGTACCTATTTATCTACTCACAGTTGTATGCTTTCAAACTGCTAGATGGGGAAGAGCTGAGGCAAGTAATAGGAACTCACCCCACCGCACGGTGCTCAGGTCTTGGAGCAAGGGCTGTCAGCTTTCCTGCTGACAAGCTCAGCGTCTTTAACCACTGAGCCATCGTGCCCCGTCCTGACATATATAACTGTCTTTTAAAAATGCTGCAAGCACTCTAGCAAGCAGTTCTAGTCTTGCACTTGCAGGATATTCTGCAAATTAAAGTCAATTCCTGGAATTGCATCAACGCATCAGTGCAGTTATCTTGTCAGCGTTGTGGAAATTATTTCCTTCCTTCTTTTGGAGTGAGGTTTTTTTTTTTTTTAACTTCCCAATCTAG